ACTTTTCACACTTTTCCCGCTGAATATCTTGTGCTCCATCGGTATATGCAGATACGTGAGCCTGCTCCGGACGAGCTCTTTAAATGTGGATCCAGGCATCAAGGGGTGCAAAACGCAACTCACAATCTATCTTATGGACATATCATAACAAGGAGACGTAAGGCAGATGACGAGAGCGCGGTTCTATCACAATCTACTGGTAATTTCTAAAACAGGATAACTCGCGCAGTCGAAACTTCAGTTTACGGTTCGTAGTCGGTTCGGTTTATTTAATATCGGCGCGAAAATTCGAAACTCCTCCGAAATCAGCGCGATTAGGCTCGGATACTCCCCTCGGAATGGCCAAGGAGCGGATGTATCCTCGAGAATTCCGAAAAGCGGTCTTTGCCCCCAGAAACTCCAGAAAAAGGACGAAAGGACCGAAGAAGGAGGTGTCCTCTAATGTCGAAATGATGCATCTGACGTCTCAACTCGAAGCACGATCAATTCATCCAACGTGGGAAGCACCTCCTCGCCGATTCCTTGAGCACTCCATCCACTTTGAGCAAGTGCGTTCCAAGTCGCGAGAGAAGCACGGAAATTCAAAATGACTCTTCAACGGAGGAGGGTAGGCTGAGGATGAAAAGGGAGTGAAATTCCCGATCAGCCCGAGAGTAACCCGATGCTACCCTAAAGCTGCGAATGAACTTTCCTTACAGGATTAGGTTCTACCGATTTATTTATTCATCTACGTCCAGAATGAATACGTCACAGGAAGAGCGTGAAAGTCCACACCGCGCGCGAATGGGATATTCCGTGACTCCCGAAGCCGCTCATACCCAATCAATATCCAGTGATCGAAGTCTTCGTCCGTGACGAGGTCGCTCGACCGCTCCGTCTTCCGGCGTGTGGGAGATTTCCCACGGGAACAAGGAATCATCGATCGATCAGATCGCGGCCTCCGGCTCGGGGGTCTCCCTCGGCTTGAAATCAATCAGAAGACCGTTGCGAGGCCTCAAAATCACCTCAATGGCCAACTCGAGCTCATCACGTTTGTTTAGGGAGCGCAATCTGAACCGTCTCATCACTGTCGACAGAACAGTTTTCAATTCGATCATTGCGAATTTCTGGCCGACGCAGTTCCTCATTCCCCCCGAAAACGGAAAAAAGGCGAATGGGGGCACTCGCCGCGCTCCTTCGCTCCCCCCTCCGTGATTTTCGGTGTGGAGGAATCGTTCAGGCCTGAACGCCAGTGGTTCGGGGAAGTGATCCGGATCCCGATGTAGACCGAAGGAGAACAAATTCACCGTCGCGCCCCTCGGGATCAAGTGTCCCTCAACCACGGTGTCCTTATCTATCCTTCGGGCGATGACCGGCGCCGAAGGATAGAGCCGTAAGACTTCCTTGATGGTTGCTTCAAGATATGGTAGATGCCTCAACTTATCGGGGGTGCACCGATCGGTGGCGTCGAGGAAAACTCGATCCAGCTCCTCGTGGACTCGAGCCTGAACTTCTGGATGAAGACCCATGAGATAGAGCGAGAAGGCTACGGCGGTCGCCGTCGTGTCGTGCCCAGCGAACATGAACGTGTTCACTTCATCTCTGATATCTTCGAAGTCCAGTTCCTTCGGATGCTCGAAATGCATCGTGATCAAGGTGTCGAGGAAACTATGGGTGGCGCGCGACGGATCGTTCCTGAGAATCGCCATTCGTTCAGCGATGACACTCTCGACGAACTTGTGCATTTCGGCCACGGCAGATTTGAACTCTCGTCCCGAGGGTAAGAGATAGTAGACAAAATCGTTCCATAACCACGGTCTCGTTGTTCGGTACATGTGGGCACTGGCCGCACGATAGACAGCGCGAACGTAGGGCTCGTCGGGTTTGAGCTGTGCGTTCAATTCGATTCCCATGGCGGTCTCGGTGATGATGTCCAGGCCGCACACTTGGGATAGGGGGATCGCGTCCACTACGCCCTTGAGTTTTGAGCAGTAGACCTCCGCGTGTTTCTCCATGATCGGCAGCACGTCCTCGAGGATTTTGAAGTGGAATGCTGGCGTTATCAACTTTCTCCGCATTCTATACGCCAATCCGGTGCCGGTCAAGAGTCCGTTGCCCATCCATGGTGTCAACATGTCGTACAGCAGCGACTTGGATATATTTGTTGTGTCCGAGAGGAGTTTTGCGGTTGCTTCCGCAGAAGTCACGGTGACGAACGGCGTCAATCCCAGATAGGCTTTGAAGACCTTGTGTCGTCGGTTTTGGAAGAACAAGCCATCGAGTGTGTTGAAAACTCCGACGTTGTAGTCCAGCTCAGGACCGGCCATCGTGAGCGAATAATGGATCACCAAATTCCACACGAGAGGAATTTTGTCGAAGGGTCCCTTCATCGGTAGCAGCAGCCACCACATGCGGATCCATTCATATAGCTTCACCACCATGGATTTCACAAATGTCACAACACTGAGTAATTCCAATAGAGGGAACTGGATTGCCTTCGGTATGCCCCCGAAAGCCTGAGCCTTCTTGGGGTCGTCATCGCGGTCCGCAATCATGTTTCTGGTCACTGTGATAAGGTTCCTATAGAAAGTGCCAACGCTGCAACGAGATCGTCGAGGTTCATGAGCAACAGAGTAGCAGCGGACGTGAACATGCACTCGCGGAGAAGAATGACTCTCCTTCAGTCAGAGCTTCGGTTTCCCTTCCCTCTTGTCGCACTTCAAGGTGCAGTGTTCCTTCTTGCAAGACGTGTTTCACGCGCGGCTAGCTGTTATATAGTTTCCGCGTCCCGGTGTCTCTCCTGAGAAAGGGACGTTGTAAGAGGGGCAGATGCTCCGAACATCGCGGCAACATCGCATCTTTCAGAAAAAAGTGCCCCTCTTTTCCGGGCTCTTTGGTCAAATCGAACATCAATACGGACCACCAGACGGAGATCTGAGTCGCGGATGGGCTCCGCCTCTCATCCATACGGAAGAATTCGATGACTGGGTGGATTCAGGATCGGGCCCCTCCCCACGGGATACGGGGCTTCCAACAGGGCGGTGAGAAGATCGCAGACGAGCTCTGGAGAGCCTCGTCTACTGAGAATCACGAGTCGCCTCTGCTTATTAAGGAAATCATTATTATCGATCCGTTAAATACGATCTTGAACTTCTTCTAATTGATGTCCCGCGCACGGGACCCAGTCAGATTCCTGATCGGAGCCAACTTTAGAAGCGATCTCCAGAGCTTTTGCGCGTGAGCTCAAGACGACGCTCACAGGATTGGGAATTGGGACTGGTAGCGTTCGAATCCACTCCGATGGCTAGAAAAATAATCGGTGATGAGAATGGATCACACTAGATAACTCTCTCCGATTCTCCTCGCATTTTTCGTGTCTGAAGCACAAGTTTCTCCTCCGATGCCCGCTCACGCCGTGTGGTAAAAAGATCCAGCTTTGAATCACGGTGTTCGATAGAGACAATTAGAGCGGAGTCACGCTTCGAGAACAACGATCCGTCCGAGTTTTTCTGGATGTCTGTGAGGAGAGAGCGAAAAATATCAACCCATGCCATCCCAATCCCCACCGACGCGACAGGGCAACCCCAAGTGCAAAGATGTGGATGTGCAGACAGTTATTTTTTGTAGTTGTGCAGACAATTACAACGAATGAGCCATGGCCGCCACTCTGCCCTCCCTCCCGATGCCGTTTTCGTCTCCACTGGATCTCTCCCGAATTACGCTCTCAGATTGAATGGATCTCCATACTGCAGCATATCTGACAGGATCACGTAGAACTACTCGCATTCCCATGAGAAGGACGACGCGCGACGGTGTGTGAGGTCCATCTTCTGGTGACAAACATGCAATGCATTCGCGAATTTCACCTGGCGGAGCGATGCTGATCGAACAGAAGGCAGCCTCTCTTGACTGGTGTATTGGTCAAGGTTCCCTATCATGCCTCGAAGTCACACCGCACTCGGACTGCGACGCCCATGTAGGTATGTGTACATCATTAGATCGGGGTCGGCCGTGCGAGACTTATGAATCCCTCAACCGGGAAGTCTGCCGAAGGATCTGCTCCGGAATCAAACAACAATTATAGAATGTAAGGGTAATTCCCGGACGGGAGCGCGGCCAAGACCCATTCGGGGAACTCTGGCGGAAGCGCAGACACTGTACTCGTTCGGGCTCTCGACGAGAATTCAGTGTCAATTATCAGGCGCCACGGCTGTATGACGGATGGCTACGAGATGGCAAGGTCCTGAACGGGCCGACAGGAAAACACTTTTCTCAGAAGTCAGAATTCTTCGGATCGCATCTGCGATTTTCCCGACAGTCCGTAAGACCATCATGGTCTTGAAAAGCAAGAACGCGCCTAGCCGCTTCGAGAGATTCGGCAGTCCACCCCATGTTTGGGAATACGGGGCGCCTAGTGGATAGGTGCAGACTCGTGGCTGGCGATATCTTTCGTGATTTGAGGAAGCGGAGCGGCTCGACTTGGTATCGGAGACGATAGTATCCTGCAATCGCGGCATGCAGGAGCCATCGGAAAACCAGATTGCTATGAATCAATGGCGAGGGATGCTCCAGAGCACCCGTCTCATCCGGCTACATTCATACGGATTTGGCGTCTGAAGTTTCGCCCTCTTAAGCCGAAGTTCCGTCGATTGAAGGTTCGGGCTCGATCCTCTTGTTGAGGTGGGCCGCGAATCGATAGAGGATGATCCATAATTTTCCAAGGATTTTATTCTGCCAATTCACTCGGAAGTTCGTTCCGTGGAATCTTCTTGAGTTTTGCGGGGCTCTCAAGGTCCGCCCAGACCGTGACGAGTGATCAACATCGTCACATATCCTCCGGACGTACACATTCACTACTTATCGCGACTTCGCTGCGCGGGTAGTCTTGAGCTGATTGTGAATCCCGAGGTGAAACTTCTGGCGGCGTCTTCTCTCTTCCGCCAGGGGATGAGGTGATGACAGCATATTCATAATACTGTATCATTCAAATCGCTTGCAGCCTTTCGGAATTCTACTCTATTCTAGCGGATGTCCCCCGAGAGCCGCACAGCTTTCTTGTAGAGTTGGCGACTGATCTTCAAGAAAACCACGGTTTCGGAGCTCACGATGATTGTGTAGTCTGGCGAGAACAAATCTGCAAGGTCGGATAAGGCCATTCCACTCGGGGTTCCTCACAGAGAATCTGCGGGGAAGGGAAACTGTCCACGATCGCTTCGTTCAGGCTCCAGTCGCTCGACCGGCCCAACTCACCGCGCGCGGGGTTGTCGAGAGAGCGAAGAGCGCGGATGCCGAAATAGGCGAACGGACCCGATTCGAATTGGAGACTGTCTTCCCCCATGGTCACCTGCACTCTTCCTTCAAGGATCAATATGAAAGCATCCTGTTTCTCTCCTTTGCGTGAGATCACTTGGCCGTGCTTAGCAAAGACGTAAAGGCCTCCGGATGGCATCATCTTCCGCAGGATAGAAAGCTTAAGTTTTTCCTCACTGAATTCGGGCACAGCTGGTCGGGACGAGGAAAATACGAAATTATTCCGACCCAAAGATTGGAGTTTTTGAAAGAGAGGAGGAGAATATGAACGCGTTTGTATCACCACGCAAATACAGAATGACGTTCTCGTTGTTGATGAATCGAGTCAACGCCTCGTTGGGTCCTCGTTTCGATACAACCAAAAATCCGATGAGAATCTCCTCCGGGAAATTACCTGCCACCAGATATTGGTACGCTGCGAACGTCATATGAGGAGAAATTTCGATCGCCCGGCATTTGACTCGAAGGAAATCCTCGAAATCGCCCATGACCTGAGTACTGGCTCGGCGGAGATGGCGTCGATTGTCGGCTGCAGGACAATATTGGTATTCGAGAAAATTCCTGAGTGTGCGAGCCAGTCATGATAAGCAGACGAAATTCGCTAGATGTTAGGGCAGATTCGCGATGGGCCGCTCCTTTTCTGTGTTAAAAGCTGCGCCCCGCTTCCGCAGCTTCATGCTTGGAGGTACTTACTGAAAGTATCCGTTTCGTCGTGGATTTCTGCCTGAATGATTTCTTCAATGACGTCTTCGAGAGTGACTATTCCGACCAGTCTATAGAGCGGGTCTCGATCGACGCTCTGGATTATCGCACGGATCAAGACTAGGTGCGAACGACCTTCGAACGGAGAAGAATGCGGAGTGTGTCAGTTGACCGTGTTCCAGATTGTCTGCCGAGTCTTGATTCTGAGTTAGCATCCGTTCCCGAAGCACCCGTGACTACCTTTTCGGAATTCAGTCAGCATCGAACCAATCGGGTCATCGGTGAATGCGAAGCAAACTGGATGTTTGTGGAAGCTCGTGAGGACCTTTAACGGGAGAGAATCTGCCGGAGAAACCAGAGCGAGATCTTTCGTGTGGAGGATCCCGACGATATTTTGACGGTCTCCCTCAAATATCGGAACTCTTGTATACCCTCGTCGGACTGCAATACATAAAACAAATCCATAGCACTCGGTGAAAGTCTAAGTGTGAGACCGCCATCGAAAGTTGGATGTCCTCTCAAACATTATTGCAATAATCGTTGCGAGTTTGAATCACCTATCTCAGCTATGGTACCGAAATCCAGCTTTGCATCGATGGGTAGCATAAAAACGTCCCCTATCCTGGTCATGACGTCCTGAGCGGTTTTCCGAGTCAGATCAAGAGCCCCGAAGATGATGTTCATTTCATCCTGTTCGATATTCTCGGTACGAACAACGCGGAGGTATTCGGTCAGTTTCGCTCGGTTGAAGATCGAAGGAACCTGGGAATGATATGCACGTACAAACGGATCATGGTCCATAGAATAGAAATTAGATGAAGTTCTCGATATCTCAACTCGACATCTTCTCACCTCTTTCCCGAGAACTCCATCCAAGGCCACCGAAATCGGATACGAGAGCGGGAATGTTATCACCATAATGAAACGAGTGATGAGCGAAGTTCTCGCTCCGATGGCCAGGCCGTACCTGGAAGAAAAGTCCGAAAAATGTGTGTCCAGACCTGTACGAGGCTGTCCGTGTGGACGTCTAGTCCAGATTATGGGCGATAAATTATCCTGCGATCTAAGAAATTCTCCCCCGTTTACCGTGAACAGATAGCTTGAGGCAGTATTTCGCCGAAGACGACAATACCAAGGGTTGCCAGCGTCAGTCCCAATCCGTCCGGCAATTTCGACTCTACATAAATGGTGAACAAGTTGTTCACGAAGACGTTTCCTGGAGGGGAAAAGTTCCCCGAGACTCTAGTGAGAGTTGCAACCTGTCTTGCATTTTCCTCCCGCCGGGAAACGAATTCCCGGGCAGACTCCTCGGAGAAAACCGTTAGTTCTGCCTCCCGACAATCCGATATAATCTGTAAACGTTTCTGTCATTTACCCAACACGAGGGAACATAACAGATAGTTGCCTCTCCGACGGAAGGGGATAATTCTCGAAGCATGGGCTCGTTCGTCTTTGGTGCCACACGTCTTTATGACCTGGGAATATATCGGAAAATGAATACACCTTCAAAGTCTGACGTCACGCCTCGCGAACGAGGAAATTCCTGACCGTCCGCCACAATCAATTCTTGCCACCGAGGCAGAGCCGCCGGGATCATTGGGCTCATTTGACATTCAAGTCGATCTTGAGACGCGAATTCGGAAATACTCCCCATAGTCCAAATGCTTCTCGATCGATCCAGATCGGAGGTTTTCACTCTCCGTAGCAATAAATTCGAGACGTCGCGTCGTCCAGCACACTCGGTGACTGAATAATTTCAGGTACCTGGAGTTCATCCATATTGAGATTGAGGAGACCGAGAGTAAGCCCCGAAAACAGGCCCGATGTCAGAAGTAGCACCGAGGCAGCGATCGCAAGGAGCGCCGGTGGTAGCTCGCTTTCTTCTGGGATTATATGGAAATGGAGAGCTTGACCTTGGTGGACCCATCGACTGGTGTTCCCGCTTGTGATGCAGAAGTACGCAACAGTTCTGAAAAGTCTCAAGAGTATTTATCGAGCAATCGAGTGTCTCCTAGTCTTCCTCCGATACGCATCGCAATCATCGGGGGATTTGTATTTCGAAGTTCCCTGCGATCCATCGATGTTCAAATCAGGGATCCGATCGCATCCAGATCGCGCCAAATTATAAGCTCGAGTTACCCATACATGGAAAAAACTCCCCCCTCGCTCACCCATTGGATGATGCGGGAGGCCCTCGAATAAGGATCTTCAGTACGTTGGAGTCCACGAACGTCTGGCTTAAGGGACGGAAAGTCGCGGTACAGGAGGCGTCTTCGGATATTCGTTCGACCGTGAAGGACACTCGAGTATCTATATTTGGATAAGTCCTAACTGTTCAATCTATGCATTCAAACACTTGTTGTGTTTTTCTCACGAGGCGACAATTTTTTATTCATGACCACTGTTCTTCTGATGTTTTCTTCGGTGGTGAACGTGCGAGCTCGCTGACGGATATTCGATGGTATTGTAATCTTCGCCACATTGATGGATCGTCTCTCCCGCAAGCTATATCTAGGAGCCTTTCGGAGAGGACGGAAGTCGCGGATTGTTTGGGACTTACCAGAAGTGAAGTCCGACCCGAAAATCTCCAGCGGCACCGTTTCATGCTCGCGTACTTGTAGAGCTTCACCGAAACGATTCAACCTGAAGCCTATCACCGATCCACCGAAGACTTGTGCTACAAGCGAATACAGGAGCACACCGAGCAGCATGCTCTAGAGAGGAAACGTTTTTGTGTCTCACAACGCTGTTTACGACTGGGATCGGCATTGGACTTGGTCCCCGCGACAGCAGAGCTGTGATGCCAAAGAATCATGATTCGAGGGGGAACTCTCGATGCTCTCGATTGCTCATAAAGAATAATCAAACGATCATCGATCTGGTGTACATGCCCCCCTCCCAAAGAGAGAAACCTCCTATGTGAGGGAGGTTCTCTGAGCTCGGTAGAATTGGTGAATCAGGAGAGCTGATCTGAAGCAGTCGAATTATTCGAGTTGACTCAAATTCAGGAGAGAATCTCATACGACGGCGAGATCCATCATAGAGCCTAAGTGTTTAACAAGCGACGCTCCCGAAAATTTTTCTAGTTCCGTGATGGGTGATCGAAATCGACGAATTTCGGATGATACGATTGTCGTCACGTCTGATCAAGATTCTGGTGATGAAATGCTGGTGACCCAATGTTCTCGCGTCGCTCCGGTGTCACAAGTTAGATGGGAGGAGCCGAATTATCCTCCGCTAAGCAGGACATGTGCACTCGATACCTATGAAAGCCACTCGCTGTTTTTTTTCGACGACATCATTATTGAATCTCTTATTCGGAAAACAGTCTGCGGTTGCTGGATAAGATCTGGGCTCGGTTAGGAGGACCGGATACGCGTGAGGGAGATCATACTGTCGCCCTTCTCCAGAAGACAGCTACTGGTTGCGGGCGCTGCAACCGACTGCGCCAGCTACGTTTTTCGGTGGGATTCTCGCTGGTCGTTTGGTCGGCAGTCTTCGAGATCCGTAGTCACCAAGTCGGGAGCCGTGGTGGAGTCGTAATCATAACGGCGGAGCCCCAGAATGTCTCAGAGCGGTACAACATCTCTTGAAGCTTGTTATCACCATGATATACATATGAATATCTTCTGATATGTGTGTGTGACTTTATACTATTATGTACACTTCTTTCATAGGAGGGGGAAACGAAATATCATTCGGAGGAACGCTTCGATTTTCCTCCGATAGCCCCAAAATGCCTAAATGATTCCCGCACCCGATTTCTCTGGATATGTCTTTGAGCTCAAGGGCGAGGGAATGATTCTTCCCCGTGTTCAGGCGTCGTATCACTACCGTGCAGATATTCACAATCCTATCTGCAGTGCACTTGTTCTCGACAGCAATCAAGGTAATATGCCTCAATCGTAATTTCCGTTGTTCCGGGTTGATTCCGACCGTGTTCATTGTTCTTCCCTTTATTGATTGTAATATCCCCGCGGACGCATCACCTATCGATGCGAGAGGGAGTCCGTGAAAGCCCTGGAAACCATTCCAATCGGAACCCGATCTCGGAACCGGTCCCTATCGGATTCGTAGTTTTGCAAGAGCGCCACCGGTGTAAGCTTTCTTCGGTGGCGCTTTCGGAAGCTTCCTAGGTCCTGTCCTATACAATGGAAATCTTCGCCCTCCATATTATCGGGGTGACTCCCCCTCGTATTCAGGAGGGATCAAATTTTCCCGCGTAGCTCGTCAGGTATAATTCCGTGTTCGACTCCAAAATCATACGATCACTGATTTCGATATCCAAATAGATATCGAGATCCAATCAGAATGAGGTTGGGCTTTATCGAATCTACGTTCCGAGCACCCTAGGCCCTTAGCGGCAGAAATCTCATCAGCTGCGATGAATTTAGTTTGATTTACAAAGGGATTCGAGGCAACAGCCTCGGCCGGGATCCCTCTGTCGATAGCGAGGGAGAGAATAGAACAGGAGAAAATCTGGAGCCACGATTTCGCTTTGCTCGCATCTCGGAACGTCAAAGGAGAATCATCGAGGCGAGAATAATTCTTATAGTATTTTCGATTCCCAGCGATTCCTATCTTTAGGCCAGCCGCGTACCTACTCATTCTCGGGAGTCCTTCCCGTGATTCCCACGCAGGTGTCCGCATAGACCTGAGCATCGGCATGTTGGAGTGCTCCATGGGCATGCACATGTTCCACTCGAAAAATGATCATGCACGATTTCTTGCTCTTGGAAGTGTAACAATGTGTGTGTTCGCGCGTTATGAATCGAGTGAGAGTAGGGTCATCTCTTGAGTGTAGAGGGCGCTTAGGTAGCAGACGACGGAGAATAGAAACAGAGAGGGATCATTCAGAGTCTGATGGCGGTAGATGACAGATCATCTCCGTGAGTCAGCTGAATAAAGAGCCGTGGTTGAAGTCACAGAACCCTCCGACTACTCTGTGTTCAGTAGCCTAGAGAGAGAGCAGGAGAGCTTCTCACATTGCAGCGGTGGGATACGCGCAGTTGATAGTTCGGAGAGACAGTTGTGTGACGAAGATCAGAAAAACCCGGCAACGAGAGGAAGATGTCGGAAGAATTCTTTGCGAAGTTGACCAGTACCGTGAAGGATCTGGTGGAGGTGGTCGGAGCTATGAAGATCAAGATCGACGAGAAGGAGGAGTCGCCCAGGAAGGAGGAGTCGCCCAGGAAGGAGGAAAGAAGGTGGATCGAGAACACTGCGTTGACTCTGCGCACGTGTAACGGAAGGTATCCGAGGGATACGGAGCTGTGGCTGGATGAGTTCGGGTTCGCGCGGAGTAACGGTAGGTGGTCAGAGGCTGGTACGAGAAGCGTGCTGTGTACGAAGTTGGTTGGGGCGGCTGGTCTGTGGAATCGATCTTATGGCAAAGACTACTCGACATTCGAGCTGTGGGAAGAGGCTTTTCGTAGAGAGTTCATCCCGGCGGAGTGCGAAGGGGAATTAGCAGAATTAGTTCTGAGCTCTAAGCAGAATAGAGGAGAAGATGTTCTGATGTTTGCGTTGAGGGTAGAGACGGTTGCGAAGAAGTTGAAATGGGGTTTTCCGGCGATCAAACGGCAGATTCTGAAGGGATTATTACCGGAGTACAAATGTGCATTGTCATCCGCTCATGCGACGGTCCACGAGTCGGTGTCGGCGCTCGCGAGAACGATCGAGAGTTATCGGGACGTGAGTGGGAGGTCGAGTCAAAACTGGTATACACCGCAGGGATCGAGAGAGACGAGATCAGGTGGAAGGGGATGTTTCGCGTGCGGAGAAGACGGGCATCGGAGGGCAGACTGTCCGAGGTTGCGAGTGTCTGGTGGATACCATGTGGCGGAATTCGGAGAGTCAAATCAGCCGAGTTCGGGGACAAGA